AGAGCCAGAGAGGTGAGGTGTCTGGCTCAGTAATACAACCAGTAAGATGCAGTCAGGATTCAAATCCAGCTCTGCCTGACCCCAAACCCAGTGCTTTCCCCCAAACCAAGTAGGGTCTGATTACCTCCAGTAGTTCCCAGGGTCGGGTCTCGGCCTCCTGCCCTTTGAGTGAGATGACCCTTCATGGTGTGTTTTACTTTTCAAGAGCAGCAGCTTTCAAACTTTTTTAAATACTGCAACTCATGGTAAGGAATACATTTTCATCTCAACGGTACAACAAACACCCGTATGGTTAGTGAAACAGCACTGACTATATTACAATGCACTCCACTGTTTTCTGTTAAATTCTAAACATTGTAGTCACAACCCACTACATTGATTTCATGACCTTCCAATGGGTCAAAACCCACAGTTTGAAACATACCGTCTGCAGATCTAGCTTCAGCCCGTCATGTTGCATTCCTGCCTTCTCTTCAGAGGCCTACTGGCTCCACTTAGCCCTGGTCTCCTCTGAAACCGAAAGACCCCTGAGGGGAGATCTGTCCTTGGTTCTGATTGGGTGGGGGCCCTGGACCCTGACCCTGTAGCCAGCAAGCTGCCTGAACTCTTCCAGGTCGTCATCTCTGAGTCCAGCCTGCCCCACCCCCAGATGTCCTGATGAGGCTTTTTAGGTTTTCCTGGAATTCTGAAGGCAGTGCCACTGTTCCAGCATGTTCTAAGGTCCTTGAGGCTGCCCTTCTAGGCATTCTCCTGCTTAGCTGAGGCCTGGGGTATTATTGGGTTTCCTCTACCTTCTCCCCCAAATACCAACCCTCCTATCTCGTGAGGTAATGACAGTGTTCCAGAGCCGGTCTTCCAGGCCTCACGGGAGGTCCAGTTGCACTTTTTTTCTCCTATGAAGGTCAATAGTGTTTTTGGAGACAGAAGTTGAGGATCTGTTCACTGTCTTGAACTGTCTTGACCCACTCCATGGGCCACCCACCTACCAAGGAGCCGGTCAGACTGAGACAGCCGGACCGAATCCCTATGTCCTGTTTCTTTTTAAATCCCCACCTGAGGATATGTTTTTATTGATTTGAGAGTGAGAGAGGAAAGGAGAGAGAGGGAGAGAAACATCATCCGTTGTCTCCCATATGTGTCCCAACAAGAGAGTGAACTTGAAACCAAGGTATGTGCCCTGACTGGGAATGGAACCCGTAACCTTTTGGTGTATGGGACAACACTCCAACTGACTGAGCCAAGGTCCTATGTCCTTTTAAAAATGTCAGCAGATATTGCCTTCTCTTTCCCATCCTATTCCCAGAAAGCTGGGAGAGGAGCCAAAAACCCCTCATCTCCCAGAATCACTCCATTCATTGCCAGTTCAAGAGCAAGTAGCAAATGGGACTGTCAACTGCATGCTAGGATTATGCCAAGCACTTCATTCATCCTTCAAATGCCTATGAAATGTCTACTCCTTGCCAGGCACTGCTCGCTGGGACTATGATCAGCATCTAGTAGGGGAGCCAACCAAAATATAAGAGAATGTTCCATGTGCACTCGAGAAAAATGTGTATTCTGCTGTTGTTGGGTAGAGTCTTCTTTATTTTTTATTATTATTTTTAAATCCTCATCCGAGGATATTTTTTCCATTGCTTTTTTTTTTTCCAGAGAGAGTTGGGGAGGTGGAGAGAGAGAGAGATGTGAGAGGGACACATCAATTGATTGCCTGACTGGGGGGATAGAGCCTGCAACCAAGGTATGTACTCTTGGCTGGAATCGAACCCGGGACCCTTCAGCGTGCGGGTTGGTGCTCTAACCACAGAGCAAAGCCAGCAAGGGTGGGTAGGATCTTCCTGAGATCTGTGAGATGTAGCTGGTTTATAGCGTCATTTAAATGTTCTTCCTTGTTGACCCTCTGCCTCGTTGTTCCAGCCACTAGTGAAAGCAGCAGTCTCCAACCGTTACTTTGAATTGTCTACTTTCTCTTTAATTCTGTTAGTTTTTGCTTCGGGTTTTGTTGTTAGGAGCATATATATTTATAATAATTTTATCTTCTTGATAGATTGACCCTTTTATCAGTATAAAATGTCCTTCTTGTCTTTCACAATTTTTGTCTTTAAAGTTTATTTTCTCCCATACCTGGATAGCTTCTCTTGGTCTCTTTTGGCAAACCTTTGCATGGTATCTTTCTTCATCCTTTTACTTTCAACGTTTTTGTGTCTTTGAATTTAAAGTGATTTTTTTTTTTTTTTAAACAACACGTCAGATCATTTTTTCTAGTCTGCTCTGCCAGTCCCTGCCTTTTGACGTGGGGTATTTGCCTCACCTCCATTCAGTGTAATTACTGATAAGGTAGAATCTATGTCTGCCGCCGCTATTTACCCCCATATGCTGTGGGTTGGTTTCTTCTTGTTGTCCTTCTATTGTTTGATTCCTACTTTCTTTTGTGTGAAATAGGTATTTTTGAGTATATCGTTTTAATTCCTTGTTTCATTTACGATATTTTTTTCAGTTATTTTCTTAGCGGTTGCCCTGGGGATTATAATTAGCACCCTAATTTAAAACAATATAGTTCAGATTAATACTAACTTAATTTTAATAGTGTGCAAAAGCTCTGCTTCATTATAGCTCTATTCCCCGCCCAGTCCTTCACACCATCGCAGGCAGACCTCGCCATTATGTTATAAGCCTGTCAACACAGTTTTATAATTATTGCTTTATGCAGTTGCCTTTTAAAGACAAAAATGAAAGAATTATACATAAAAATGTTTACACTGCCTTCCGTAATTACTCTTACTGGTGTTCTTTATTTCTTTGTGTGGACTCGAGTTACCACCTAGTGTACTTTCATTTTGGCTTGTGGGACTCCCTTTACTATTTCTTATGGGGCAGGTCTGCTAATGACAAATTCTCTGCTTTTCTTTACTGGAGATGTCTCCATTTCTCCTTTATTTTTGAAGGAGAGTTGAGGAGAACATAGGGTTTTGACCCATTCTCATCCAAAGCCTAGCACATTCTACCGAAGGTGACCCAATGGGCAGTCAACCCTGTTCTTATGTCCTTTCTCTGGGCTTAGGTTTATCCTGGCTCCCCCATGTATTAACTGTGTGACCTTGGGCAAGTAATGTCACCTCTCTGTGCCTTAGTTGTCTCATATATAAAATGGAGATGAAAGTGGTGTACAGCTCGAGTGTTGGAAGACGTATTTTTTTAAAAAAAGGAAAAAGCCCAGCTGGCGTGGCTCAACAGTTGGCCATTGACCTAGGATCCAGGAGATCTCTGTTCAATTCCTGGTCAGGGCGCATGCCCGGGTTCTGGGCTTGATCCCCAGTAGGGGGCGTGCAGGAGGCAGCTTATCAATGACTCTCATCATTGATGTTTCTATCTCCCTCTCCCTTCCTCTCCCTGAAATCAATAAAGATATATTTAAAAAAAGAATGTTGGAAGATTGACTTAGGACCTGTAAAGCCCTTGGGGCCAATGTGAGCCCACTCTAACACTAACTGTTAGCTCATTTGCCAACAAAAACCACCTTTGGGGCAAAGGTGGAAGAAGGAGGGAGATTCAGCAAGGGACTCTCTTCCCAGCTCCTGCGCCCCTCCCTTTGTTCTCTGTGATGACTGTCACCTGGTTTTCCTACAGATGGATACTAGGCTCATCAAAGGCAGCCTGGAAGCTGGCAAGGGAAACTATCGAGCCAAGACATAGAAGGAAACCTGTCTCATGCTGTGAGTTTGCACCTGTAAATAAGACAGTGTGCAAAACTCGTACCGTCCTCTTGGGATATTGCCAGGGCCTGGAGTGCCTGTGATGACAGCTGGCTAGGATGGGCCCTATCAGTGTCCTGGGCCTCGCCCAAGCCTCATGTCTTCTGGGCAGCACCTCTGGACCACTCTGAAGGTCCACGCAGGCCTGAGAAGGTGACTGTGCACCCACCTGGCCTCTGTAGGAATAGAGAGCAGGTGCATGGAAACCTCCGCGCAATGAGGGTCACCTGCCCTTTCACCCTATATTCTGTGCCCATGTCACTGCTCATACCAGTCTTCCAGAACAGGACACCTACAAAACTGCCAGGAGGAAGAGCTTTGCCTCCATTCTGCCACCACCTGGTCCAGCCCCCATTGCCCTCCTTCCCTGAGCTGGAGACTTCACTCTTCCCCCACCTCCTCTGGCCCTCTCCTCCCTCCAGAACAAGTGAGACGTCTGACTCATGCCTCAAGGAAGGCCATTTATTTCCAAGATATAGACTATACTTTTAAGACAGGACTTTTCAGAAGCAGGAAATCTTAGTTGTCGCCTAGAGAGGTGTCAAAGACACAGTGAAAGGAGACATGCGGACGTGGGGCCAGAGTCTTATCCAACACTGTTACAACACTTCTTTAAATGAGCAAAACATCTTTAAAAATCCTTATAAATTCTTTATAATATGTTACACATTTAGAGACAATATTTACAATAAAAGGAAGGGGGAGGAAGGAGAGAGAAATCTACTTTACAGCAAATTTTTGCATAAACCAAGAGGACTGATAGATGTGGCGGTAGGGTTCACAACCCCACGTGGGCTTCCCTGGAATGAGTGAGGGCGTGTGGGAGGCCTGGTGAGTGTGTGGGAGGCCTGGGGATGGGGGGTCTATTTACAATGGGAAGAGGAGAGGGAGCTGGGTCTCGCCCATCTTGAAGGAGAGCCCAGCTCAGACCCCATAAATCAGTGTGTGTGTGTGTGTGTGTGTGAGAGAGAGAGAGAGAGAGAGAGAGGGAGAGAGATTGGGGATATTTTACTACCCCCCCCCCCGAAAGGGCAGAAGGTGGGGGTCTGTGTGCCTGAGTTGTGGAAAAAGCAGGCACAGCTGGAAGAACAGAGAGAGAGGCAAGGGAGGTCTAGTGGGGGGGGGGGGACCCTGGACCCTCCCCAAACTGACTGGGGAATGGGCAGCTCCCCATGGTCAAAGTGCTGTGGGGTGTGGGAGTGATTTAGAGTTTACCAAAAGGTTGGTGGGGCAGTGAACCTAGTGAGAGTCTCAGTCTTGCCTCTGTGGAGTGGCCCCAACCCCCTTCTCTGGCTCTGAAAACAGCAGGGGAAGGATGCCTGTGTGCACCAAAGGCAGGGAGCCCTGGGGAGGCAGGGGGGAGACGAAGGGCGCAGGGGCGGCAGAAGTTGCTGTTGGAAACATCTTTGGACAGTGACTAGACACACTCACACTCACACACTCACACACACCCCCTCTCATGGACACCAACACCCTATACCCCCTCTCCCCAGACATACATACACAGTGCCCCCCTTATCTAGGAGCTAGGAGCTAAGGGGTGGTGGGAGAGGAAGGAAGCGAAGAACCAGCATCACCCAGTGTCTTTCCTTTAGTCTGAGACTTGGGGGTTCCCTATCCACACCCCATGGCTAACAAGGGTCTGTAAGTGCAGACACAGAGAGGCCCACGAGGGCACACTGCCATTTATCCAGGGGACACAGGCCCCCAGCAGCCTATTCCTTCTTACCACGGGGCCCTCCCTCCCCCTCATGCTCTGCCCCCCAGCAATCCCAGCACACCAGCTGCAGGCATGGCCTCAGCGCCGCCCCGGGGCAACAGAGGAGACGCCTGCTTCCCAAGGGGCGCCGAGTCGGGGGCGAGCGGCCCGAGAGGGACGGGGCTGGTCACAGACACTGATGGAGG